ACAGAGAAGTCCCCTGCACAGCTGCACCAGGGTGAACATCCATCTTAGGCTACAGTGGCCTGACTAACACACCCAGCTCCACTCTCAGTGCTGTGTGTGCAGCCTTGTCACCATGACATTGAACACTGATTCAGCAGGGCCTGTGCTGTCGGGCGAGCAAGTTGTAAGACCTACTTTGAAGCCGTCTTAGAAACATGGGATTTAATCTGAGGGGACCAAGGTGAAAAAATAGAGTATGAAAGTGGTATTTTTATTCAAGAAAAAACCTGAAGCACTGTGTAATTACAAACACAAGGATAACTAAAAACAGCTCGCTGAAGTGTCATTAGTGATTGCGTTTTCCCTTTTTACTGATTGTACATGAACTGAAACATTTACAATATTTTTCCATACTCCCACAACCCTTGGTGTAAAGAAATGCCTCCTGCGGCTGGACCCCCAGTTTGAATGCTCTCTGATTCTCTGTGCAATCAGAATTGTCTTGAGACCCATGGGGAATGAGTTATTGTCACTGTTACAAGTGCAGCATATTGTATACGAGATACAGCCTGTCTTCTTCCACTGGTGGGCTGGACACCTGGATTCTACATTGGCTAACAACCTCACGAGACCCCCAATAGCGTCTCGATTAGTTAAATGGTTCCCCTTGCCTCACGATTGCCTTCCAGAATCACTAAGCCATTGTGTCAGAGTGCCTCAGCTGAGCTCAGTTACGTTTCCAGCTCCAGGGCGAGCTGAAAATGCACACCTGACCTGACAGTGGCTCACAGTGAGCTCCAATGAACTTTGTTACAAACTCTGGCACGGTTCGGCCAGCTACCTCCACACTCGTCTGCATGGCTTCACATAATCAGATTTCCTTGCAATCCTCTTCCACCTACAGTACTCTCATACTCTCATCACAGCCAGGAAGGCCTGGCTGCCTCCATATGGTTCATGGTGTTGGAACTGAGTCTCACTGGTGAGCAGGGACTCTGTTTCTGTAAAGGCAGACACGGCAATGAATAAAACTAAATTTAAAAATTGACACAAAACCCAGTGAGTGAGCTATAGAAGCCTTTAATGTGTAGGGCTCAGAAAACATGGAAAAGGATTTCTCTGGAGTCTGACAGCCAGGGACCCAATCCTGCTCCTGGTGTCTCACACACTTCCTGGTTTTCATTCCAGCCAAGCTCTCCACGACACGACGGAGCTCTTAATTGCCTTAATAACAGGGCTAATTTGAACTGTTAAGACTGTTTCCAGCCTCTGTGCCTTGCCTTTCAACTGTTGCATTTCATGAGGAGAATAAAATTCCGAACTCCTGCGTCCAAACAAAATCGCAAATATTCCAACCCAGCAACTTGTGAGTTCAAATAAGGCCTCAATTGCGCAATTAAACTCATCTGGGATGAGAGCCAGCAGGTGTTGTGGGCCTCCGAGACCAAGATTATGAGCCCCTGTCTTCCGATAAAGGCTTCCTCTGTACTTGCGGCCAGCAGGGATTTTAGAGAAAATGTAGTTTCTTTGCCAGGCCCTCCTGCCTTAGTAGCACAGTGAAGCACACAGCCACTGTACAAGAAGACAAGGCTGAATGGAGACATACTGTAGGAACTCTAAAACAGATGGTGCTGAAGCGTCAACCAATCAATCAATAACTAAACCAGCTCTCAGTCTGGCTAAGACTGTCTAACCCAGAAGCTGGAGACAGCTGGAGAGATTCCACAGTAGACAGGTTACTCATCTGTCAAGATGTGAAGTTGCTACTAAATTCCACACCCAACTAAATCCCATCGTTTCAGTGACCAAGCCACACATCGCACTGTAGTGCCAAGAGGGGGCATCAGGCCTTGAGCACATCCCTCATTTTCAATTGCAGCCCTGGGCTGGGCAGAAGGCAAACACGCGGCCGACCTCTTCGGATGCTGCTTCTGGCTCCTGCGGGTCCCTTTGCATACTGAATTTCTCCAGGGATGAGGCTTTTCCAGATATAAGCACTGCCTTGCATATGTACAGCTCATAAAGATGGGACTCCCTTTGTGTTTTCAAAGGATGTACAAGATACTCTTTTGCTCTGCGGAAGACCTAACGTCTTGCTGGTCTTGACCATTTAATAGTTAAGATGTGCTGGTGAGCCCTACTTGTTCTGAAGAGCCTTTCTTACTGCATAGATATCCAAACTGTTCCTGATCTGCTGCACATTGATTCTTATATTATTATAGGATTATTGTAGTGTGTCCATGAATGGTTAATGGTGTCAGTTGACATGAGGGTGTTGAGGTTAAAGCTGCTGAATCACAGTTCTTGGGTCCTGTTTTCAATGCTGGGCCAGGACTGTGTGGAGTCTGCATGCTCTTCTCGGGTTCAGGTGATTTTTTTTAATGACCGCTCAGGTTTCCTTCCACCTCCCTGGTTCCTGTGTACTTGTGTGCGATTCCAGTGAAGGTCTGGAGTCCCAGCCAGGGGCGTAGTCCTGCCTGACAGCCTATTCCTCTGGGATAGAGTCTACCTTCACCAGGTGTAAGAAGTGTTCATAGCTGGGTTACTGATGCCAGCTATAATGAGGCACAAGTTCAAGAATCACCACTAAAAGCTTTGTTTGAATCTAGACTGCTAATCACCCTATCGCCTACAGTGTCTGGTTTTACCATAGACACCAGATGGATCCATGAAATCTCACAAATTATACCGGACTGAGACCGTATACTCTTGTCATGTTGCCTCTGACATGAGTCCTACGAGGAGTTCAATCCCTCAGGAATCAAGAGCCAGCCTCCTAGTGGAGAACTACACTCTGTTACAATGTTATAGATATGGTTACCCAGGCTAGGCAACAAAACGACAACAGAACCAAACCGGATATTGGTCTCCATGACTATCTTTTACATTAAAAAAAAAATCTGATTTCTTCCAGGCGTAATTTTTTAAACAACCCGTTTCAGACGGGGGCCAGTGAACAAGGAGCTGGGATCTCTAGGACCTGACGAAACCAGGGGCTTGGTCTTTAAACTTAGGGCCTCACCATCACGGCTTCAACTGAAAAGAAGAAAAGCACAATGCGCGCATAAACAAGGCGAAGCCCTTTTAAGGGTTGATCACAACAAGGAGCCAAAAATTTCGGACAGCAGCTTACACCTGAACACTTAATCTCCAGAGCTAGAAAGCGGACACGTACACTGCAGGCTGTTTTGAAACCGTACTTAAGGTCAAACAGCGTCGGCCTGTCTGAACTGCCCCGCCGGCGTTCACCGTGTGAACAGCACACACCTGCGGGCGTAAGAATAGAATAGGTTGACGATTCTCCACTTCCACCACGAGTGGGTTATATAACCCTGCGTCCGTGAGCCAGCTCAACAGTGACACCTTGTGGACTCATGCGATCATAAACCAGCCGCAATGGCTAGCGACCGGGAACGCAACTGCTGGCTAACGGAGCAACTTCTCTCTTTCGGCATATTTATCTTCTGTGCTCCCCAACACGTTGTATGTTGTTTGTTGTTGTTGCTGCTGTTCTGTGTTTATGGTGGGGCGACCCCTGAATGTCTTCGTACCGGAGCAAACATGCAAATGAGCATTTCATTGCACTTGTGCATGTGACAATAAACTAGACCAGAGGGGTCGGCCATTGCCAGAGCGTTTTCCCAGAGCTTTAGAGGCCGGCTAACGGCACCCAGAGCAGGAGAGCGAAGCCTGGAGCGGTCCAACACAGAGAAGGGTGGACGAAGTCAGGGCCCACAATGCCGTCCTAACTGCCATGTTGGCTGGGTGTTTGGTTTGGTGAGACCGCGGCGCAGCCCCCGGGCCTGAGGCTCCGTCTGACACACGCGTGTCCGACTGCAGGATCCCGAAGGAGGTCCCGGGAGACTGTGGCCCTTGAGCGAACCCTGAACCAGGCAGAGGAAGGACATCCAGCCTGGGAAGTCACCTGCACAGGAGGCAGGAAGAGAAAGCACAGGGAAAAACGCAGAGGAGAGCTCACAGGACCGCACAGTGTGCTCCACCTGCCAGACAGCCTTGCAGCTCCCATATTGGGCCAATCAGTCACCTTCCTCATCATCAGGGAACACAGTCATCCTCGGTCACACAGGGTAGCCAATGATACAACAGCCTCCTGTCTCATTACATTTAAACACGCACCGTACCTACTATCTACTATTACCTACTAGTCGGTTTATTTGGGATGATACAACCGATTACAGTCGATCAGAAAAGGAGAAAAAAGAGCAGAGATCTAGAGCTCTGTTTGACACGCATCCCTGCCAGAATGAAGCCTCTATGCTGGTTAACACGTGAGACCACAAAGCAGCGCCGGAAATGTTACTATGTTGCCGTCTGTTCGAGGTAATTTGTAACGTTCAATCGATTACCTTATAAGATTAAAACACAGTGACTCACGGTGCCTCCTATTGGCCGGTTAATTCAGGGCCGTGCAGAATCGAGGAAGTCAAGGACCACAAGCACGCATTAAACTCCATTTTGGCTCCACGTTTGATTAGACTACCGCGCACTTGGGGCCCACGGGTGAGCCAAAATGGCGCCCCTTTCCTACTCCCTCAGAAGACTGGCAAGTGTAATACTTCTCGGCCTTCGATTGGACGAAGGGCCCGTCAATTATTCTTCCCAGGTTAGGTTGAACTAGAAGACACTATTATGAGCCACAGGGCTGGCTAGGAGCTTAACAAAGAACGCAAACTGGTAAGATTTTAAGCGATTATTACCATTAACATCATGCATAAACTTTCACAAGATAGTTTGAATGATCTGTATGAAAGATCACCGGTCTTTTCGTGGCATGACCGGGGCGCAATGAATTAAAGAAAAGACGAGAAACGCCAGACTAGTTACCATGGAGGGCTAGAAATAATGAAGAAAAGGTCATCAGCAATAGCTGATTAAATTGTGTTTTGAAGCGGAATGGAATAGTCTGATCGTGGTGCCACAACGCGATGGTGTCATTTCCCAAGGGGCTGGATGCTGCGATTCAGCCTTGGAGGAGAAAACAACTCGCTTCGCTCTTTGCGATGTCAGGATGTCAGCGCTAAGATTTCTGATGCTGAGGGTACAGCAACATGGGAAAACAAATACCACGCTGCTGACCACAGTGCCATGAAGGAGAGGTGGAATGGTTCGAGCTCGCCTGATGGGTTGGGGGGCGATCATGGGCTGACAGACGAGGAGCGGCCGGTGTAGCGGAAGAGTGCTGTCGACAATTAGCACACGTGTGCCGGAGAAGCTGCTCGAGTTCTGCTGAAACTCCTGGTCGTGCGATTTCAAAGGCGCTCCCTCGTCTGGACTAACCAGGGGGAAATTCGCCAACAAGAGGAGGGGGGTATAATCAAACTAAAGGGGGGCAAACCCAGTGTCGGTACCGGAGCGGTCCGGCTCGCGGTTTGTTTCTGTCTCCGGCCTCCGAGAGTTTGCGATTTGAGCTCGTTTCCCCCCCCCGACTTCAATTCTAACGTGTAAGTGTGTATCCCTGTCTTTTATCCCCCCCGTTCAATGAACGCCTCTTGTAATTTTCACCAGGAAGAGAAGTGTTTATAGTGAAACTAGCGTAAGAAGTGGTTGCCTCAGGTAGTGACTTTGTAGTTTGTGTGTTGAAGGGCGGATGAGATCGCATCCGCCCTCGGTTACGTTTCTATCGCATTGGTTACAGAGTTCACTTAGGGTGGTAATCGTCCAACACAAGTGTTTTGTTTTTTTCTTCCCCCTAATCCCACGGAGGCCCTGTGCTTATCTTGCAGAGATAATGGGAATGAACGCAGTACTGAACGGGCTGTTTCTGGAGACGTGCAATTGTGTGCACATGCGTTATAAACGCAAGCAGTTGGGTTTCGTACTGTTACCACTGGGTCCAACGTCAGCTGGAGTTTTGTCACCAATTATAGGTGGTGGTGAGCAAAGTGAACTAAAGTAAACAGTAACCGGACTGTCTAGTCACTAGACACCGCCACGGCTAGTTGACTCGTGTTGCTTTAAGATGGAAGTGCTTATTTTATGTGAATGTATTTGAACACTTAAGCACCGAATTGGGTAACGTGTTGTTATTGTCCAGGCACGGGGGGACTGGTCACTGCCGTCTCCTGGGGTGTTGTGCAGACGGAGCGGGGCCTGTCATCACGCAATGCCGCCGTGACATTTCTCTCTTTAAAGCGCAGCAAGGGGCGCAGTCTGCACGAATGGGCAACGTTAAGGTCGTGTCCCTGTCGTTGCAGGAAGGCTACAGCAGTGCCTGGGAGCCCCGGGAGACGCTTTCCCAGTCCCGAAACACCGCCGCGTCCGCCCTGTCCACCATGAATGCCACCAAGGGAGGTCTGGTCATCTTCACGGCCAATTCGAACCCCTCGTGCATGGAGCTGGGCAAGAGGATTGCCGAGTGAGTACAGGACCGTCCGCGGTCCTCTGACGGCCTGGCTGCTGGTTTCTGACCCTTGGCTGTGCATGGAGAAAGAGCCCCTGCACATCCTCTGCTGGTTAAAATCCTGTGCGGCTTTTATGTGCCTAGGCGCGCTTGGGTTATAATCGTTTAAAACCTTTACTCTGTGTGTTCTTCATGTAAGTAAACGGGCAGCCTTTCAGAAAACCCAATAAATTTTCCAGCTGCACAGCTCAGGTTTTGCAAGCTGTGTAGACTTTTTTGAAGGTGGTATAGCTGAAAAGCAGGATTTTTGCAGGATTCTAGCTTTGTGCACAACATGGGTGTAACAGCCATGAAATATTCAGCGCCTGAAATGCTGTCTTGTGTGAGACGCCTAAAAATAGATCAATCTTTTATCCCTTCTTGTTCACAAAGGGACACAGTGTGCTTTTGGTTCCTGATTTCTATTTTTTCCCCATATTAAGCATCTGTTTAAGTTAAGTTGTTAAAAAAAGAACAGTTTGACAGAATGAATATGGCTCATTGTATCCAGGGGAAATGAGTAACAAGTGTTTTTTTTGTCCCCCCCAGACTAGATAAGGGATACATTTGACTCCTTTGCAGTGGAGCCGGTCAAATGTGAATTTTATCTTGTTCAAATAGTGCCGTTAGTTTTGTAAAGAAAGGTGAGCATTTTGTTTTGGGATTTAAAAACTCCCGTACTTGAAAGTGAAATCGTCTTATGGCAGCCGGTGAGTAAGTTTGTCCCTGTTGCATTTCGTTTCGTGTACATGAGCTAAAGATTTAAAATGGCGTTTTACCATCAAGCTTTTGGAGAGCTTTGAGCTGAAGGAAGTTCCCAGCATATGCGTCTTTTAAACAAGAGGGGGCTGTTTGACTGATCTCGATTGTACTGGTGGCTGGTAGCATGAGAATATTATTTTTCCATTTCGAAAGGATCACACACACTTTGCTTCAGCCTCACGAAATGGGAGCTAGTTCCAGATTCCCCAAAACTCTGTCTTGATAAGTATTTCCTGTTTTCTGTTGTCTTGAATGGCTGTAAATTCAATTTCCACTTAAGTCTTCAGGCCTTTGTATTGCCGCTGAGCTTGATGGGAATTTTTAGCAGCCATTTTTATAGAAAGGGCAGCATGTTTTATCTGTAAAAACGCTGGTATCTGTTATGGTGTAAGTACAAAAACTGGGGCTATCTGTTATAATATTATGATTCCCAGTACGCCCCAGTGTAGGCTATTAGAAGCTGCAGGAGTTTGAGTTTTTTCCTTCTGTGTCTGGTGGAGTACATCCCTCTATAAATTCCTTTCTGCAAGGAAGCACTCCAGTGCAGGGGCATTCTTGGAAATTTCAGCAACGCTGGGGCAGTCAGGTGACTCTTGTGCATCGTTGCATAGTTTCGTACCTACTCTTGGAAACGTCAGATCTCTGTACAGTGACAAACCCCGAAGAGAAAAAGAAATGAAATATTGGATCAGACAAAATTGAGCTGCTTTTTGTAGTGACACAGACGGCCTTTAAAAATCTTTCCACAGTGGTGCTGCAGCAGCACTGAAGGACAGCAAGACCGCAGGGGCTGTAGAATTCTAATCAAGGTTTTGCTGTTTTTTTAATTCAGATCTGCAACTTCACATTAAATGTATCTGCTGTATCTTCATATCTGGAGTGCTCTGATGATTGGTTGCAGGAATTAAACATTGTTTCTGATAGAAAATCCCAGCGTTTTTTCCTCTGCCACTCAATTAAGCTGATCGTCTCTTTAAGCTCTCTAGCAGAACCACATCTCAGCTGCAAGTGGTGCTGAAGCATCTCTCTTAAATGTGTCTTGATTTTGCAAAACGGTAGTGGTTCTTTTTTTTTTTTCTTGTGCAAATTCCCCGTGGCGTAAAGGTTAACGTAGGCATTCAGTCTGGGGCTGCACTGCCTCATTTGCTTAAACAAAGCAGGAGCCCTTTCCTGCTCACTCCCGGGACTGTGCCTGTCTCCCATGGTGCAGTAGTGCATAAGAGCCCGTGTCCTAGCAGCTCAGCGTTTCATCTCGTCCCTCATGAGCTCGTTAGCAGACATTCACCTGCCAGTGCCTGGAATCTGGTCTGTCCGCTCCCAGAGATATTTCACTTGAATTGTCTGGAGCTGGATACAAAACTGGTAGGTGTTTGGAACATAAAAATTGTAAAGCATTGCTATACTAAGAATAGAAGCCCAGGATATCTGTTTCAACCACATGGCTGGGCAGCTTGTTCCACCTTTTTGGGAAAAGAAGTGTCTTCTGTTCTCGGTAAAGAACTCGAAAGAACTCCGCTGGGCTGAACTGGGAAATAAGGAACAAGTAAAGGTTTATTCCATGCTGAAAAGAGAAGACGAGAAACACAACGTTTCGGCTGTGGAGGCTTCTTCGGGTATGACCTCTTCTTGTTCCTTTGCAGCCTGCACGTGGTGACACAGCTATACCTCCTTGACTTGGTTAATGGCTTTGAGTACTTTTATAAAGTCCCCTAGTTGTCTTTTCTGTTCAGGGCTGCGAAGGTTCAGTTCCTTCAGCCTGTCAGTGTAGGACCTCCCCTTAAGCTGCAGAATACACCTGCACTCTCTTATCTGGTTTCCTGATCTGTAATATATTTTCTATAAGGTGGTTACCAAAATGGTACACAGCTTTCTAAATGTGAAGGCCTAAGTAGTGCCTTATACAGCTGTGTGTAACGTCCCTTAATTTGAATAGTACACTTCCATCTAAAAAATTAGATTCATTATAACCCCCCAAAGCAAGTAATACAGCTTTTACTCTCAAGCCTGGGATAAAAATAGAGAAACTGGCATCTGAAAAGCTCAGCAGTTGTTAAGGGGTGACTTAAGTTCTTGTCTGGAGGTGTTTTTGGCAGGATGTGCAGATCCGTTTGTTGTTGGCGTGCTGCAGGGAAGCCATGATTGAGAGACTTGATCACAAGTCTCTTTATCAACTTACCTGTGTAGTAAAAAGGATTCTTATGATCAAATATCGATCAGATATACTGAATATTGACCGACGCTTTATCATTCATATACCTGTCTGTGCCAGTGTTCTGTGTTCTGGCAGATCATATTAACTTGTAAACCTGTGAGTAGAGGATCATTGACTTTTTTTCTGATAAAGTGCCTGTACAGATGTTCATTTCTGAAGCTCATGACTTATTCTCGACATGTTTCATGTGAGCACAGTACCTCGGAGGAATTGGTACAGACCAGTAAGCAGCCTCTGCCCAGTGTGATTGGGAGGGTATAAAAGAAATGAGGAAGCTGAAGGGAGTTCAGGTAAACTCTCAGTGCTTTATCTGCAACAAAGGATCAGTCAGGCTCTCTAAAATGCCATTTTAGCAACTGCTTATTTGGTTGTTGCAATAGCCAGTGTTGTGACCTGGGCTTCTGCATTTTAATGTTAGAGAATTGACAGGTCAGCTGGAAAGCATTGAACTAGAGAGAAACCAGACGTTGGTCAGTTTAAACCAGGAAGAAGCATCTTATTGAAGATGATGAAGATGGTATACAAAGTGGCTTTGAATTAAAATTTCACGTTTTTAATAACCATCCAACTTGTGACATTCTCAATAAGCATTCTGTGTTTCAGTAGTATATTTTTTCGTTTATGGTTAAACAGCACTTTCTAAAACAGTTGACATTGTATTGTTATATGCACAAAACATCTCTCAAAAGTGGTATGCCAAGTCTAGATTTATTCTCACTATGCCTTTGTGTGCTAGTAAAACATTTGATTGAATAATTGCATGTAGTTGAGGTTTTCATAGATGCTTAAGAAGCGACATTTAAAATTAATCCGGATCACAGCCATTTAGCGTGATCCTTGCTTTTACTTGCAGAATTTCCTGCACGTATTGGAATACTTTTTGATGCACACAGGCTTCTGAATATTCAGTTAACAGGATCTGAGAGAGACTGACGACAGATTCCACTTGTAAAATACTGGTTTACACAGGAATGTTGGTCAAAGTGCTGAAAGCATTGCAAACAGTTTTCTTTACAAGGGATGTCCAGAATAATCCCCATAATCTCTCTTTCTACAGTAGCTTCAAAAGTGCACTCCTCTTGGTGAATTCCATTTGGAAATCAACAGCCATTAAACTGCAATGCCAATCCAAGTCACTTTTGTTGACGTTTCTTGTTTTTAATTAGGAAAGAAATCATTAGTCCAAGTTACTGTTAATCTTGAAATCTGTCAGAAAAATCTGATTCTAGATCGTTGCATGTACATTCCAGTCTAATCGGCACTGACAAAGCTTACAATCACAAGCTCCTGGATGTGATGGAAGCAGAGGAAAGCCGAAGCTTGAATATCCCCCAAGAAATAACTGCTATTTTATAATAACTGCTGTTTTGCAACATGCCTTCCAGGTTTTATAAATATGCAGGAATATTTGCCTTGCACCCCCGAGAAAGACATTGACTTCTTTTTAAAAATCGCAGCCAGGTAGCTGCAAGCAGCAGAGATGGTTAATGGAACTGTCTATTGCTCGTTTTTCCAAATGGGTCCCCACTTGCTGAACCATGGAGTGATTTAAGCAAAGTTCTTTTCTTAAAGAAGCGCGATCTCTTGCAACTGCTGCCAAATGTCATTTACATCGATGCTCTCATCATGTCTTCACTAAACGCTGCTGTCTTTTCATGCAGTCATCGGCTTTTTGTCAATTTCATGTCCTGTTTTGCATAGACGTCCATACACTGTTCTGGTAGAGACAAGCAGTACTTGTATTCCTGATACAATCACGTCTCGTTTTTTTTTTTGGTGAAACTCATCGAACAGATCTCTGGACTGCTGAGGAAATGTTCTTTCTGAACCTTTGTGGTCTTCGAATGTCTTTCTGCTTTTTTGCAGCGCAGTTTTGTAACTTCCTTCCGTGGCTTGATTTTTTACTTCCACTTAGGAGGAGCAAAGCCGCGTTTTTAAACTTATTTTGCCTTTCAGTCTAGTCCACTTCATCCAGAAGACCTTTCTTGCAATTTGTTTGAAAAAGCCATTGAATACTTGGTGCACGGCAAACACTTTCACAATAGGAAAAACAACACGGCCCCTCTTTTAAAAAATCCAAAATATTTGGCCTGAGGAGGCTAAATGAAATCTGATTGCTTAGGATGTCTTGTGAAATTCACTTCTTAGCGTACAAATGTTGTGTAGCCCAACACTGATGTAAGCAGCAACCTAGGACCTATACGTATCCCAGCAGTGACTAAAATGCACATGTTAACTATTTAAAGCTGTGTTTGTCATTTCTCAATGTAGTTGGTCTTTTCAGGATAAAAAAATGGAACAATATTTTTCTTTAGAGTTTGTTAAGGATTTCAGGATGCTGGTACTGAAACCATATGGAACTTTTTTGTACTGCTGGAATTTGTGGTGCCAGCGGTGGGATTGGAGTCAAAGCCTTAATAAATGGGAGTAGTAGCTGCTTGGCCCTGTTTTAGGAGTACTAAGATTCTCATACCCAATTATTAAGTGATGTCGTGTAAAATGTAATTTTCTCTTTTTCTCTTTCTGATCTTTTCTAGGCGTCTTGGAGTGGAGTTGGGAAAAGTGCTGGTCTATCAGGAAGCCAATAGAGGTAATTAAAGCTTCAACACAGTCATGCATTGATACAAACGGTTCATTCTTCTTAAAAGCTGATTTGACTCAGTTTTGATATTGGGAAAAGGAAGGTGAATCCGTACGGTTTCCTAACACATTCATGATTAATGGTCTAGCGTACTAAACAGACCTGCATGTTCATCTCCTTAAAAATATTGTTTGACTGTTGCCTGCTCTTGCAGATGAGCTTGTGTTTAACAACGGGAGTGCTGAAAATGCAGTTTGGTATCTCTCCCTATGCCTCGCCCTCTGTGATAATGAGAGATGGAATTTAGCTGTTTGTTTTGCAGGATGAACCCAGCTCAGGCCAGGCTGCTTATCTGGAGAACAGAGCCAGAAATATGTGATCCATGTGATCCTGGTCTTTCACCCCTGGTTGGGGTTGTTGGACTGTATGGAGAGCTGATAGAATTGAAGCCTAGTTGGGCACATCTCAGCCACACCATAGACTTGAGCCTGCCTCTGTGGGGTGAGGGCAGGGCTCAGGTTGGCTGGGCTAGCAGGCTCAATCCAGAGTTCTCAATAAATAAGCAGGTTTAAAGTCAGCCTTTCAACATTAGACCTGAGACCCGCTGCAGAGCCCAGTGAGCAAGGTGAAGTTTTGTTTGCACCCTGACTTTGAATGTACTTAAAGCATATGTTTTTGCTAAAAAAAAATAGTAGGAGTTTGACTGCAATCAAAAAGTTTTTCTTATCTTTTTTTTCATATTATGCAGTGGAAGAAATTCCTTTGAATTAACATAACATGGTAAAAGGTTTAAGAATGTTCATGTATTCAATGTTTCAAGTATTCTTTTGCCCTTGGGAATGGGCATTAACAGAGGAAATGACAGGGTTGTGCTTGGTGTGTCTGAAATGGGATACCTATTCATCTGTAGGAAGATACTTAACCTTCTCATATCTAGCACCACCCCCTAGTGTGGAGGGATTTAAACCTTTGTCAGATTCCACATATTTCAAGCATTTTAACAAAATTATCTACAAATGGAGCTCTGTGGTCCACTAGCGTTATTAAACCGAAAAGGAACATTGCAATACTGTGACAAAGGAGATTTTTTTTCTCTTGTCTGGGGGAAGCTGGTGCCAAGTTTGCTGGGACTGTGATCCTCCGTCCCAGCTGTATGTCCGAGCTTAGTCCTCGGACGCTTGTCGCTCATTCTCTGTGTGACTTTTCTTCCCTCAGAAACACGGGTTCAGATCCAGGAGTCAGTGCGAGGGAAAGATGTCTTCATCATCCAGACGGTGTCAAAGTAGGTTTATGAATAGAGGAGGGGATTAAAAAGGCACAGAGACGGATACAGGCTAAGAAACGAGAGACCTTTGAGTGCTTCTCTTTCCACGGATTGTCGTATTCTAACAGTGTAGCATCCCTCATCTCCTTCTGGGTTTCCTACATGGTCTGGGTTTCAGGCAGCAGCGTGATCATCAGATCTGTTCTAGTCGCATGTGCATGCCTGGAGCTGGCAGTCTGTCACTGGAAAGTTGCTTCTTGTAAGCGAGATCTGTGTTTTAGTGTAACTCAGTTCTGCTACAGTCAACATAGTTGAGTGAAAATAGGCCTCTAAACCTCTGTGAGTGCATTGCGTACTAGTGTGCTGCATACCCTACTTGCTTCACAATTTATGAGAAACTAGTGGTAGCCCTGATCCAGTGTTTTGTAATGGCAACCAATGACATGACAGCAAGGGCTGGTGCTGAGGTCATTCAAGCTATTGAATACCCCCGGTCTACATGGTGGACAACAGCCGGATCGGACTCATCCGCCAAATTAGTTGGCAAACCAGAAACGATCAGAGCAGTCTAGGAGCAGTTACCTGCCCCTTTATTGTCGCGAGCGCACCCTTGACGTGTGGGTGGAGGGAGCGATCATGTCTCGGGTTTCTGCACCTGCGCTCGCCGTCAGTGCCCGCCGAGGTGCAGGGTCAGCCCGGTGACCCCCTGCCTCCCTCTCCGACCTCAGGGACGTGAACACCACCATCATGGAGCTCCTGATCATGGTGTACGCCTGCAGGACGTCCTGCGCCCGCAGCATCATCGGCGTCATTCCCTACTTCCCCTACAGCAAGCAGTGCAAGATGAGGAAGAGGGGCTCCATCGTCTCCAAGCTCCTCGCCTCCATGATGTGCAAAGCAGGTGGGGGAGGGGGTCTCATCCTGGGAGGGCCGCCCTGCTTTCCTCGAGATCTTCACTTCTTACTGCGCCAGCTGCCTTTGCACGCTGTCCTAGTGAATATACCCTGTCACCCTCTTCCACAACATAGCATGTTTTGGCTGTGGCCTGTCCATGCAGCTAATACTTTGTCTGCCAGAGTCTCCCCCCCCCCCCATAATTTTTTTAATGACATTTTGCTTGAATTGTACGTACCACGACACCTTCATTTTCTTTATTTTCTTTATTCCTGCAGGGCTGACTCACCTGATCACCATGGATTTGCACCAGAAGGAGATCCAGGGCTTCTTTAACATCCCAGTGGATAATCTGCGTGCTTCTCCATTCCTTTTGCAGTACATCCAGGAAGAGGTAAGGGCCTGTCTATAACGCGCCCTCGAAACGCCCTGTTATTTGCTCATCCTTATTCAGAGCATGGTAGCTACGAGACCTGAAGTTTCCCCTAATTTCAGATTGCTCTCCGAGGATCTTGGTGCCAAGAGAAAACCAATCAGCACTTGTAGGCGACTGTTGTGTGAATCTTTTCGAGAGGAGTGACTGCTTTTGCCAAAATCGATAAGCTTGCAATCCTGGGTCTGCCTTGCACTCCCGCACACACACACACAAGTTTCCCAGCTCCCTTGCTTCCGAACTCCTGTCACTCCTGGCGGTTTCTGACAAATGTGTGGGCCACCCCGCAGAGTTCAGTACAGTACATTTGACCCTGGTGATCAACCGAGTGTTCAATGAGGCCTGCGCCACTCTTTTCTGCGAAGCGCATGTTCTGCTCGCCTGACACTAAGTGCACTGGTAACCATTGCAGTGCGAGAGACTACAAGGGGTATTTTTGGGGAGTGTGAATTTTTTTTTTTTACTTGCTAAAAAGGTTTATTTTTCTTGCAGTTGCTCACGCTTGAGTCCACTTCCTTTTGCACATTTCTATCGGACCACAGTGTCCTGTACGGTCATTTCTGAGAGAGTTGTGTTCCTGCGATACCTTGCATGTTAGAAAATCACACTATATAAATACGTGTTTTATGGGGGAGGGGATAGGGTTAGGGGCAGACGAGACCATTTTTTTTTTTGTTTTTCTTTTATTGTCAGAAGACTTGTGCCTGCCTGTTTCTATGATTGGTCTTCAGTCCACATACTTAAGAGGCGTTCCACCTTGTCTAACACCTTAGGCCTTTGTCCTTGCAGTTTTGCAGCACTTATTTTTGTTCCAGCAAGACCACTTTCTTTTACCTTGGTAGCACTGTCCCTAACAGTACACAGTGTAGGTTCAATAAGACTTGTTGCATGAACAATATTGGATGTTCAAAGTACTTTATTACATCCAAGCTTTGCTCTTGAGTGATAGCCTTTCTTTTTCGATCTCCTCCAGCACTTTTACTAGCACAGCGCTTTCTGTGCGGATGTTTGTCACCTTCTTTTAGCCAGAATTGCCATAAAGGAGGCACAAAATATTAAATTAATAATGAAATAATCCAGCAAAGCTACAGCTTCTAAACAAACATGCAGTGCCCACTGAGCAGCTGTGTGCTACTGAACTGCATGCACAACTCCTTTTTTTTTCCGTAAACGCGAGGTGATACTTCCAGAATGAGATTGCGTTATACCCAACCGACATCTGCACACTATAAAGAATATTCCCTTATTAAATAAGTGTGCTATATCCGATTTGCGCCATTTAAACGTGCTTTGTAGGAGAAATGTCTGTGCTTTGTTAGCATTCCCATTCATCATTATGGCTGTAATCCATCTTCTCTCCACCCACTGTCAGCTTTGTCGCTGGGCCTGATTAAAATACGCTTATTTCCAGCTAAGTCTGGTTATTTGCTGGCGCAAGGCCATCGATACCATGAGTATGTGTTGCCGTTGCAATAGAGTTGTAGTAGTGCGAATGGGGTGTATGTATGTCTGTCAAGCAGGGACATATATACAAATATAATAAGCGAACTGAACTAAACCCATCTGTATACACTAAATAGAGTTGAGAACTAGATAGCCGAAGAACGAACTGTTCTTTTGCAAGTGATAAAGTTCTTGAAGGTTCTCAGTGAGTGTAACTTTTCTTCTGTTTGTGCAGCTCAGTCTTATTTTTCAGACCACAAGCACAGGCAGTCGGTAAAGCAGAGCGGATCAGTTTTACCGACTGCCTAAGGATCTGCTTCTGTGGCTGGAAGGCTGCCGGTTCAAATCCCATGGCTGGCGGAGGAATCCTACTCCGTTGGGCCCCTGAGCAAGGCCCTTACCCCCAGCTGCTCCAGGGGCGTCGTATAAATGGCTGACCCTGCGCTCTGACCCCCAGCTTCTCTCCCTGTCTGTGTGTCTCATGGAGAGCAAGCTGGGGTATGCGGAAAAAAACAAATTCCTAATGCAAGGTGAATAAAGTGGATTCACTGGATTGGTGAACGGAGAAATCCTCAACAGTTCATGAAAAGCTTTGAAAGATTAATCTTGTCATGAGCCTACTTCGCAGTAACGGCTGGCTGTATGTGTTTAAAATCTGCAGATCCCCGACTATAGAAATGCAGTAATTGTTGCCAAATCTCCAGCCTCAGCCAAAAGGTAAGCTGTCCTGCATTTTCTTGTTCTGTTTGTGCCCATCATCATCTTTTCATTTTTCCCCCCAGTTATTGAAGCTGTAAAATAAAATGCCAACTTACATCCCTCTGTCTGAGGAGAGCCTCAGTGCATGACTTGTGATTTGTGTGTGTCTTATCCCACTGAGTCCTGGGTGGACCACCAAGCTGGAACATGCAGAAATGATACAAAAGCAGAAACAGGCAGTGTGAAAGCTGATTATTGGTCAGTGTTTGTAGTGCCTCTCGGTGTAAATTGTGCAGCGTGAAGCTGAAATGAGGGAACAGTGCTTGGGTGTCCAGTGTGGTCTGTTTCTGAAAGGACTGACGGTAGCTGTCCTGTGTCGTACAGAAGCGGTGCTTTTAGCTTTCCCAGCAGGCACACAGTGCTGTAACCCTGGTAGCATGCAGCTCCAGGTGGTGCTTGTGGGGTCGAGCAGCCGCTGTGTGTTGCCGTAACGGCGCTGTCCCGCGGTTTGCAGGGCGCAGTCGTTCGCGGAGCGGCTGCGGCTGGGCATCGCGGTCATCCACGGCGAGGCGCAGGACGCCGAGTCGGACATGGTCGACGGCCGCCACTCTCCGCCCACCGTGAAGAACTTGGGCGCCATACATCCCAGCATGGAGATACCCTGTAAGACACGCCGCCGTCCTCTGTCCTGAGACTGGGAGAGTGCAGCTTATTCCTCCTTGTTCTGTTTTTTTTTTCCCCCCATCCCGTCTCCGAGACGCTTCAGAACCATTGTCCGTTTGCTGGTCTTACCCCGGAATGCTCCTATGGGAAGGCGTTAAACATCATGAGGCACTGATTTGTGGATGCAGTTTCAGGTCCTGTCAGAATTCTTTCTTTCTGCAAGTCCTGTTCCTGTCCCTCCTTTCCTAACGTGACTCTTTTGTCTGCCTGTCTCTGCCCAGTGCTCATTCCCAAAGAGAAGCCCCCCATTACAGTGGTAGGAGACGTCGGTGGGAGAATTGCCATCATAGTGGTGAGTACTGAGGCCTGAGCGTGTGGCTTCTCTCTGCGTGCCTGACGGGTTCACTGCATTGTGATCGCAAACAGTTGTGAATTTTATTTCGCCTGGGTCAAGCTCTGCAAACATGGTCCTTGAGGGATCGTTTCCCTTGAGCCGTGTAATCCTCTTGAACTTCGGAACTGTTCTTCAGGACCAGACAGGGGTTCATTTGGCCCGTCTTCGGTGTCATGGTGACTTTCTCTTGGGTGGGCATATGAGAAGACTCTGTTCTAGGGTCAGGATTTTGTGATTGAGGTGTGGGTCTGAAGTTTACACGTTAATCTGGGACGAAGTATTTAAATGCCTAAAGGCCCTGCGTGTTGGTGATATTCAGAAAAGCCTGCAGCTCCTTGAAGAAAGCCATTGCCCATTCCTGTTCTGCTTGCTGCAGCATCTAATTCCGAGTGCGGGTTCACAAATGTTGATTAATTTTCGGTCGTCCCTGACCTCGTCGTGTGCATGTCGGACTCCCGCCGTCCGGCAACATCTGGACCGAGGGCTGTCTCCTTCAAAATCCCTTCCGGCGCTGTGCCGTCTGTTCCCTGCAGGACGACATCATCGACGATGTGGACAGTTTCCTGGCCGCGGCCGAGACCCTGAAGGAGAGGGGGGCTTACAAGATCTACGTGATGGCCACCCACGGCATCCTGTCCTCCGACGCCCCACGGCTCATAGAGGAGTCCGCCATCGACGAGGTCAGGGTCTCTCCTCCCCTGCTGGGTTTGGCCACCCACATCCCCTGGAGGAGGTGTCAAGGAGTTCATTTGCCCTCATTCAACACTGTGCATCTCACGTCCACAGCTAGAGGTTCAACATGTAGCATTAGGCACTGTGGAATTAGGGTCCTAAAAGAGAGACGCTCCGGTTCACAGCTGATGCACCTGTGCAGGAATAAGCGCATCAGCATCAAGTTAGACGGCCTTGTGGAAGAGACTGGGCCCGAGACAGGCTGTCACGGTGATGGGTGATGATTATGGTCTGGTTGTGGAAGCACGACAAGAAAATAGGATTTCTCTGATGTTGTAGCTACCATTTTTAACTGTCAGGATGTGTCCCCTATGCTGTGTTGGAAAGCAAACCTCACTCACTGCATTGAGTCATTATCTGGGCATATTGTACCTTTACAGCAGCAGTGTTGGTCCGGGCGTCAGTGGGCTGTCTCTGTAAAGGGGTGGGTTGTGGCTGTGCATTCTGTCCCCTGGATGTCGCTGTGTTTGCCCACAGGTGGTTGTGACAAACACCATCCCTCACGAGATCCAGAAGCTGCAGTGTCCCAAGATCCAGACAGTGGACATCAGCATGATCCTGTCCGAGGCCATCCGGCGCATCCACAACGGCGAATCCATGTCCTATCTGTTCCGCAACATCGGAGTGGACGACTGAGCCTGGCTCCTCCACCTGCGCGTGTCGGCTGAGCAATCAGATTCTGCCTAGAGGCCAAGTCTTGTTCAAAGCGCCATTTTTTTTTCTCCTGAATTTCCTGTCCCCCTCCCCCCCTCTCCCGCTGCAGTGAATTGTGCACAAATGTCAAAAGCTGTATGCCATAGCATTTTTTTTTTATTCATCTGTGCTTTTTGGAGTCGAAATATTTTAAGTACGAACTTTTTGTTCTTGTTTTTAATGGGGGACTTTATTCATCTCTTCAGATTTTTAATTTATTATGTGGTTTCCCCACCCTGCGTTGTGAGACTGCAGCAGGGGTGTCTCATGGGAACGGTGATGTGGGGGCAGCGAGTGTAAATATTTCTGAAATCAGAAGAGCGAGTTGCCCTCAGCAATTAGACAGCGGCACTGCTGCAGTCGGCCAGTAGCTGTGCTCTTCTCTTCTTTAACATTCCAGTTGCGTGCACCGTACTCTGCACAGCGTCCCAGTTCTGTTATCTCGCGTCTCACCTGCGCAAATTGCTTCTTTTTTTTAAAGCCATGCAGTGCTGCTCTGGGACGACTGTTTTGAGTTTGAAATTCTTCTGCCACTAGTTCATGCTCAGACCCTGCCTGGATCCTCTGATAATATCCCAGCGGTCTCTGGTGTTTTTTTTTTTTTTGTTTCCAGTGGGGATTCACGACGGTAAATGTCTCCCTGATGCACCTGCGCGGCTTGCTCCGTTTGCTAGCGATTTTTGACTTCTGTCTCCTGAGCCGTTTCAGAGGGGCGGTATTTTCCAAAGATGTGTCCCATGCCACGGGGCAGTGTTCAGCAGGTGCCGTTGGCGGATTTTTTTTTTTTCACGTTATTTAAAGGGAGTGTTTTTCTTTTTTCTTCCTAAATGTTATATTTCAGAAAACGAACTGGCCACTTGGGAAGTTTTTATAGTATTGGCTCAGTTGTGATTTATTAATCCAGTTCTTTTTTTTTAATCAAGTAACAGCTCATGTGCTGGTCTTACAGCTGCAGCGAAGGGCAGTATGAGCAGGGGGGGGAGAGAGGTCTGTGTTTGAGCCAGGGCTGGATCCTTCTTCTCTGGAGGGAATAGAGTTACAAGAGACTGACGGACCTGTGAGCAGTTAGTGCTTGCATTGTGGCGCTGTCCTGCTAACCTTTGGCACTCTGGATTGTGGTAACGGGTAAAAACCAAATGCAGGGGTGGGAGAGACAGGTCGTCACTGACCAATCCCAGCCTGCATCTTCTCTAGCTCTCTGGGTAGCAAGGCAACAGTGCTGTCCTTAAATACGTTCTGTGCACGATGATGTGGTATGGCCACTGTCCTGAAAAGTTTTCTCTCTTAAGGAAGTGTATATAACACATCTTGGACTGCACTTTTGCCAAGAAAGACCTTAAACTGCTCTTTGAGGAACATGTTTCACAGCACTGCCCTTGTCTTCAGAGCAGTCCAAAATGTCTTTATGTCCTGTAACATTGTCTATATATACCTTCCATGTCTCTGTATATCTTCACAAGCCAGACCTGGGCAGTGCCACCAGTGTTTCATGTTTGTTGGCTTTCAGTGGCTTCGAATGTGTCTTTTAGACTTTTTACACTTCTGTTGTTTTATTTGAAAATGGATATAAAACTGGATATTTATAAGGGATTCTCATAGAATTGTTTTGCGAGAACTTGATTTGCAGATTTTTAGCTGTATGAGGACCGCGCTAGATGAAATAGGATTAAATGGCATTTTTAGATTTGAATTGCATATTCCTTGTGCACCACTTGAAGCTGTGAGCAATCAGAAATCCTGTTCTCATTTTCCAAGCCTAATTTATATTGAAGGCCTTTCCCAAGTTCACAGCGTTTATTATAGTTCTTATTGATTTTTTTTTTTCTCCTTGAGATGCACTCCAGGTCAGCGTGCTGTGAAGTGAACTGTGGGATTACAGGTGTTCTCTCTTAATCGATCTTTGTAATTTAAGCTTCTAAACCAATGCAGTTTGTTGGGAAAGCACCAATTCAGAAGGAAGCTTTTGTATTTTCTGCAAAGAAGAAAAAAAAATAAAGATCATGTTTCTCTGAGGCATGGAGCCTGTATTTTATTTATTAATTGGAAAATGAGTTCAGTTCTCGTCATTTCAGATCCTGGTTTCAAATCGTGTTCGAAGTTAATTGAACTTTCTGAACCTGTTCACGCCCTGTTTGTGAAAGTTCATCTCTTGATGTGGTGTTACTGTAATGTCTTGTCTTCGGGTACCCCTCAATGAGCTTTGCAGGATAAGACTGGATAATGAATATAAGGCTACAAATGCGAGAAAGCTTTTCAGTCCAGCCAGCATGTCTGGTAGTTCGTGATTGATCCAAGGATCTTGCCAGCTGTGTCTTGAAAGAAGCCAGGGTATCTGCTTCAACAACATGGCTGGACAGCTTGTTCCAGGCTCCCATAACCCTCCTGTTGTTGGTTAGAAATACACTTCCATGTAACTTCTTGTGTCCTCTGGTTTGTTTCACTGTTTGTTTTTTGTCTGTGCTTTTGAGGAGTTTGACTACTAATTTGCATTTGGTTTCCTCAGGCTTTTCTATTCAGGACTAAAAAGGTTCAGTTCAGGTCGGTATAGGACATTCTGTTAAGCCCTAGGATGTATCTCGTTGCTCTTCTCCTGACAGATCCCAGAGAATGAATTTATGATCTGTTAATTCATATGGGTTTTTTTTGTGTTGGGGTAGGGTTTAGATTGTCAGACTGGAATAATTAAGACGCAAAACAAAGGCCCGTGCCTTTTTAGGTTGTCATCGATCAAGCAAAACATCAATTTAATAACTTTCAGCTGATCACTCATAACCTCATGACTTCCACACAGGACAATAAATATCTCTTCTGATCTGTCAGTTCTGGCACCCCTGGTAATTCACGTAAGCTTGGTCTCTTAAGCGCTTTGTCCAGCTAGGTTACCTGTGGGATTGATACTTACTCCTGGATGCTTGTAAATGATAAGGTGTATTTGGATAAGGTGACAAAGGTGTGGAGGTGTTGACTCTGGTAATGGACAGCTCATGGACACTGATTCAGTAAAGCTCAGCACTCCTGTGTAACAAACACTGCATAGCGGATGTGTGTTTAACCCATTAGATCAATCCCGTTTTTAATTGGTTCGTTGCTGAATCATCAAAACCTGTTAGGAGCCGCCTGGGTTGCCTAGAGGAAAAGCACTGGACTGGCTATCGCTCTCCGTGGGCCTGTTCCAGTGTGCAGCTGAGAAGGACGCTAATTACACCCCCTTGCCCGATCAATTGAGCCTGACGTCAGTGAAGCAGCCAGCGCCATCTGGCCTGAGGAGCAGGTACACAGCGAGTGAACTGAAAGGGGTTTCATCACCTCCCTCCGAAAACCTGACCCGTGCCATCTGTTGCACATGGCCGGGAGCTGACCATGCAATCTGAATTGGAGAGTTTCAGTCTCGAGCTGGGTCGGCAGACCAGGGGGCTGATGGGCTACCTTAACCTTCAGCAGACGGAAGGTGGGGAAAGCGCTGGACTCCTGTGTGCGCAGGAAGCATGTCGGAGATGTTGGCTGCTGAAAGACAGTCGGGGATCCGTCCATGAGGGATCTGTGTCTTATAACGGGACGCGTTGGCGATCTTGCAGTTTGTCTCTCTCTCTCTTTCGCCTCATTTGCTACCCGCACGTCTCTTCCAGTCACTCCGGCTGCCACGTGGCTTGTGAACGGCCCCTTTCTGTTCACCTGGTTACCTGCTGGAGACGGCAACCAGTGTGCAAACATGAGAGACGGCCCTTCGAGCCCTAATGAGCTGCCTGCCAGAGTAGAGCAGCCCAGCTGTTGTTTGTCTGTTTTTTCATCTTCGCAGTGCTCCAGAATTTGGTTTTAAGGCGCTGGTATGTCTCCTTGGCAGCGGGGGAGCCCCCGCGGGGCAAATACGCCATCGGGATTGTCAGGCTCTGGTCAAAACTGCGAGGAAAGTTTCAAGCTTTCCCAAGTCTGGATGGGCAGGTCAGTCCTGCCTCTCTTGGGAGCAGCGTTGTGGTTCAATCCGAAAGTGGTTCGACAACGCTGTTTGCATTCTGTGTCCACTGTTAATCCCCAAGTGCTGTTCTGTTGATCATCGTCAGCTTCAGTGACGATTTCAAGCCCAGGCTGTGGCACGGCACTACGCAGTGCGTTACAGTGTAACCAGAGGATTATACGCTACTTGACTCCAGTTGATAAGTGATGGTTATGCAGGAAATGTAAAACAGCCTGTAACAATCCGATTAATAACTTATCTCCCCTATGCTACATGGATTTAATGAGCTCCTGCTGTGATTGTCAATCCCTTTGAATGCTAAGGGGTGTTTGTCATCTTAAACCTCTTCTCCATTGCGTGTTGACTTGAGCGCGTGGCACGCACGCAGAGCAGGGAATGAAGGCGAAATAATGTTTGTCTCTCTTTTGGGTCTGTCAGTGACACTGGGAGAAGGAAAGGAGAGACTCCCAAGGGGCTGGATTTTGCTTTGCAAACGAGAAGATGATTGTAATTAAAGTAAAGGTCCTAAAGAGAACGATGAAGGCTTTTTCTCCAGTGATGTGAGGTTCTTCATGTGTAGTCTGAGATCACGGGAAAAGGGTTCTCTTTCCCTGTCACACACGCAGTTTGTCGGAGTTGTTTTCATCCCACCTGTCTGTTCAGGCCCTGTTCAGTGCGGGACGTGTTGCATTTCATAAAGCACAGCAGTCCTCATTTCTGTGAATGCTGGTGCTTCATTAAGCTGATGTGTTTAATCATCAATTTTAGCAGCACCTTGCCTCCCCCCACCACCCACAAGCTCCTCCACCTCTCGTCTCTCACTGCCGACCGCCTGCGGTCTCAGTGTCCAGACCAGTTGGGGATCCGCAAGAGAGCAGACATGGACTCCAACTCCACCACAACCTTCTTTGCCCTGTCCCAGTCCTTCAGCATCTCCGACATCATCGTCATAGGGGCCTATTTCCTGCTCAACGTGGCCGTGGGCATCTGGGTAAGATCCTTCTCTTGTTCTTCTCTGAGCTAATTGTTGGCCGCCAGTCTGTTTTAAAAAAACAGGAGACGTTATTAGGCTTTTGACCGGGTTTTGTGCCCAACGTCCTCATGCCGATACAGGTACTGGAAACGAAAAATCTGCTTCCGGAGTTTTAAAAAGCTCCGACAGCAAAATGTTTAGATCAGGCAAGAAAACACCAGCTCTTGGACAACTGGGTTTAGGTGGGGAAAAAATAATTGTCAAAATATTTCTGCTCTATTAAGAATCCCATGAATAGTATGATCACAACCTTAGTACAAATGTGCCCATGTCATTATGCAGTGTTCAGACTGACTTTTGAATTTGGAGGCTTGTAACCATCTCTACTATTGTTAAACTGTGACAGTTCCTAAGTCTGTTTGAGCCATATAGTTTTACTCTATGCTTGTACATCATTTCTGTGAAATTAACTTCTGTTTAACAACATACTGTACCAGGGATGTGATGACTCTTTCACGCCCTGTTTAAACAATCCTTACCTTTTGTTGGCCATGCTTTTGGGCTATTGGTTGGAATGACCCAGCAACCAGCATTTTTTCACCTACTGAAATTATTCCGCTTTTTCATGGATACCCAAATGTCGCAGGTAACTGCAGATTAACCACGCGGACATTCCAAGATAACTGGGGGTCATAGTTCTTGTGAAAGTCTTTTTTTTTTTTTACTGCTGTTTTTAATCATGGCGATGTAGTTTGGCTTTTGTATAAATCCTAAATTCTCCTTTGGCTTCCTAACTGCTACCCCTTCAAATCAAATCAAATCAAAGTTTATTTCTGAAATGCACAGCATTACAGTGTGCAGCAGCAGTAGTTGCTGGCAATGAAATTGGAGTTTTACTGGCTGACGAGCACACAATGGTGGATTGAAAGCAGTCTGTACTACGTTTTTTTTTTTCTGCAGGGCAGTTACTCAACTTGCTTTCGGAATTTGAAGAAATGTTAGATGGGTGTTCTTGTTTAATGAAAATGGAAGGATCTCGGTGTGCTTCTGAGGTTTCTGAGAATCGCAGCTTGACTGGGGGCAGAGATTAAACTGAAATGTGAAGTGAGTCACACTGAGCCAAAATGCTGCCTGTTGGTACAGCTTTAAGCAGTGGGATGAAAAGAATTCCTCCTCTGTTGATGCTTAAAGCAAAACCACAGGGAGGAGTCAGTTTGAGGAAGACGCAGCATGTCATAATTTGATTTAAGTATGCCAAAAACTCTCTAACCTCAGCAGTGATGCACAAGCCTTTGGCCAGCGATCTTCATTTGCACACTTACAGTACCGTCCTTCTATTGACTAAGAGGCAGTCTGTCTTGTCAGGAGTCTTACACAATCACTTATTATCTTGTCTAGACCCATTTTTTTTAAAGAGAAATGTAAATGCCACACTGTGGAATCAGATACAGGTGAACGAATTCTTCCTTGCATGCTTCCTCGCATCGGGAGGCCAGCCTGCAGATATACCAGAAAGGCATCATTCTGTGGCACATGCTCGACTGTACCACTGACTGCTCTGAATTCCTCTGGCGCGTTGTGTGAGAAATACCAGACACCAGGAAGAACAAGAGGGGCTCAGGTTCCAACGCCAGAGACATTAAGAACAGGGATCTTAAGACTGTCAGACACAGACGCACAAACTCAGCGCAACTGTGCCCCTATGACATTTCATGCCAATCTTTATTCTGTACAGGGCCTCCATGAGCATGTAAAGGCACTTCACAGTAAAAGGACATTTAGGGAAAAACAATAAAGGTATTTACAGCTGACAGGTAAATTAAGAAATGACATAATGTATAAAGGAGAGTTTAAAGACGACATTTCAAAAGTGCCGACTAACTTACAGTAACTCACATAGGCTGAGAGATTCCACATCATTGTGGATGTAAATAATCCTGTTCTAAATCTAATATTCTACACTGAAAGAGCACCAGATTCCAAATAACCATACAGCATCGAGGTAAACGTGGGGTTAATAGCTGAATGATGCAGTCAAGAGCCAAACCTTTCAGCCCGCTCAGGATCCTCAGAAGCAGTTTGAATTGTATTTTGAAATTAACAGGGAGCCGATGCACGCAAGCTGAAACAGGTGAAATGTGTTCTGGGATTTTAATTGTACTTCACATTCAACAGGGGAGTTCTAAACACGGTACAACTTATAGCATGTTTGAATACACCAGAAAACATGGCCTTGCAACAGTCTAACCAGTAAAAGGACGAAGCTTGCATGAGCTTTTCAACTTTACCTTCCGAGGGGCATGAATGGATACGAGCAATGAGATGGAATTTTTTTTTTTTAAAGAATCCCTCATAGCATTGCAAGCATCAACTTTAAATGCAAAAACTGGATCAAAGATGACACCAAGACACCTGATTTGAGGAACTATACTTGGATTTATTCCAACATCTCCAACAGTCATGCCTAGATTGACAGTTGCAAAGGCGAGTCGGTCAGCATAACTTTGGTCTTTGGAGGGCCGATATGAAAAAAGTTTTCAGTAGTGGTGGCTAGTCCTTGATTAACGCCAGGTTTCATATGAACGAGAACTCGTATGGAAATTATTGCTTCATCAGGAATAAACTAATAATTCCTGTAAAGTATAAGATCAACGACACCAGACATGACTGCCTTACTGACGAGCTGTAATGCCCAGTTTGAACACCTGCTCTATTATATGAGATGTAAACCATGGCAAAGCAGTTCCAACAAAGCCCAGAGCCCTCTGTATGCTAAACTGAACGAGTTCACAGTTCAACTTTCACCACGTGATGAAAATGGGTGCTTTGTTCTTGCCAAAGATGTTAACGTAACAATTTGTTAGATTTAAAAATGCAAGTTTCCTTCTGAAACTTCAGACTGTCATAGTTTAACCTATTTGGAATAACGGGAATCTGGTTGTTCTGCTCCTTGGGGTCCATTAAGGAAGTACAGGGGGATACCCTGCGGTGGGGTTCTTGAGGATGTACCTCCAATGGCCTGCTGCTCATGACCTTTGCCCTGTCAGTCCTCCTGCAGGGTCAGCAGGAACACGCTCAGTGGGTACTTCCTGGCCGGGAGAGACATGGCGTGGTGGCCGGTGAGTTGTGCTGTGGGTGTACTTTAAAAAGCATGCATGCATGTGTGGACAGAGCCTTTGCATTTGTGGACTGACAAATCACACTCTCCCAGGCACATTGTGCTATCTGCCTGTTTAAACACATACACACACTGCTGAGACAGAGTTCCCACCTCTGTGTGCATTTACATCTCACCGTGTCTTAACTTTGCAACAAACTGTAGAATGATCCAGTGTTTCCCTAGTCTTTCTGTATAAGGGTAGCAGTATCAGTCTGTAGATATGCGCTCCTGGAATGCAGTGTTGTGTGATGTTTGTCATAACACTACTCAAGCAAGAGATGAGAGCAAGACGCCCTTTCTAGAGCGGTTTTATGAAATTTCAGTTTTGATGAGTTGCAGGCTAGGGCAGAAACGGTCATGATCGCAGTGAAAAGCGAATGTGTGCCGGCTTTTCAGTTCTGCTCCCGTCTGTACACGCACAAACGGGCGAAAACAGACTTTAGGAAGCATTGAAGAGCCGTGACCTCCGAGAACTGCACCCTGCTGCGCAGGAAACCTGAAATGGCATCGACTGCAATGCTGCGGGTGAGCTGTTTCTCGCCCTGTCTGTCTGTGTAAGGCCGTGTGGCTGTGTCGTCCCTCTCCCCTCAGATTGGGGCGTCTCTCTTTGCCAGCAGCGAGGGCTCGGGACTCTTCATCGGGCTGGCCGGCACCGGGGCCGCGGGGGGCATCGCGGTGGCCGGGTTCGAGTGGAACGTAAGTGTTTTCTCTTTCTCCCCCCCCACCCTATTTCTGGAAGAATGGTGCTTGAAACTCTCTCGGGGAGGGTTACACACCCCGGGTCATGAAGTACCAGATTGTGGCACATTTTAGAGCCATCTTACCAGAAAAGCAAGCTGATCTGAGTCTACTCTCCTGATCAGTTCAAATCCAAGAGTGGATAAAAACCAGTGCTGCAGTCTAGGATCAGGGTTGCTGTCCCAGACTGCAGCTGTTCTTGACTTCCCACTCTACCATGCCCTTCCTGTCTGTCTGACCAGTCAGCAAGATCATCCCGTCTTGCATCAGTTCTGTAATAATTCAGCCACTAAACTGGTGTGATTTAACGTTTCCTTCAAAACAGCCAGAGGAAGAGGTTGCACAACAGCTGTGGAGGAATTACTCACTTTCTAAAGGATGTGAGCAGCTATTTAAAAAAAAAAATGAAGCCTAAAGATGAAAGTTGGCCCTCGCACTTCTAACAATGTCCAGCAGAGGGCAGTGAGCGCCGTGTTATAGTCATTGCGGGTTGGACCGTGGGAATGAATGGGGTGACACTCGCGGGCGTTTGCTGGAAAGAGAAATGGGAAAACATGCTTTTTGAGAAAGGCAGGACAGGGTTCGTTTGTCGTGCTGGCCAGCCTCATTAACTCCTTCCGAGCCCCAGTCTCCTCCTGCAGTCTAATGCTCTCCGGTCACAGCCCTGACATTAACATGGTACGATAGAGCAGGGGATCCAGAGCAAACCCAGGCTAAATATCACCCGAAGACATGTACCTCCTCAGTGTTAAACGTTTTCTTATTAATTATTAATAAGAAGGCACTGGTGGATTTTAAGGAACTTTTAATCCTGCTCTTAGCGCCTTATTAACATTACAATTATTTTTCAAATTGCTTTTTTTTTTTCTAATGATGGAAAGGTTGGGAGTGTTGGGGGGCGCCAGCATAGGCGCCGAAATGAACAACCCCCCCGAAAGCTAAGAGCATTGAAATGCGTAGCTAAATAGAAGATGGCACATTGTAATTAGCGTTAAGAGATCCAGCTTTTCAGCTCGTATACTTGTCTTCTTGTCATTGTCACAGGCCACCTATGTGCTGCTGGCGCTGGCGTGGGTGTTTGTCCCCGTGTACGTCTCCTCCGGGGTGAGTGTGGCGTCTCCCCCACAGCTCCGGCTTGATCCTGATCGGCTCCCGAAATCCTGGGCTGTCCCGGCTCCGCGAGTCAGCCGGGAAATCGGGGGACAGTGTTGGGAGAGGGGGGCTTTTCTTCTCTGCTTAGTTTTAGTTTAGTTCCTCATGTCGCTTTAATTCGAGTAAGCGCTTATCCACACCGGTTTGAACGTTTGTTTCAATCTTGTCTCATTGCACATTCCGGTCTAGTGCTGATTCACTTTCAATGCGTGATGGAAATGCTTCTTAGAGAAGAAAAAAAAACGGTAGAAAATGAATTTTGGTTAGTGCGCGGATTTAATAACAGTTAATTAACCTTTTGGAGCTTAATGAAATGCTGTTATCAGCCTAAGGTGAGTCATGTAATTTGCTATGATGAAGCAGTTTTCTCACTCCTCCGTCTGATCCGCTGGCAGCAGGGTTGCTGGTGCAGAATGACTCTGCTCTTCACTGGGGGAGAATATGGGTTGTCTGCTTTATAGCAACAGCTTAGGCTAAAAAGAGAGAAAGGGGTTAGCCTTTTATTCAGATGGGTATTTTTACTGGAGCAATCCACCTCCCTATAATATACCTCTGCCAAGGGTACAACAGCAGTCTCTCTCTCACCTGGGATTCAAACTCGCAACCTTCCACTTATGAAGGGTTCACCACCACCACCACCACCTCCCATTGGATGGGAGACCTCCTGGAAAAAACTAAGGTTGCTGCTGGAAGAGGTGTTAGTGGGGCCAGCAGGGGGCGCTCACCCTGCGGTCCATGTGGGTCCTAATGCCCCAGTATAGTGA